GGGATAAAACTGGACTCTCTGAACATGGCGAACAATGAGGGTTGATGAGATGCAAAGGACAATGGCACGGGGTTTTGATCCTACTTAATGTGATGGCTTTGTGGGAGCCCAGCCAGTTTGGATGTTCACCTTCCTAGATATGGACGGAGGTGGGAGGTCTTAGGTCTTACCACAGGGCAGAAAACCCTGACTGCTCTTTGGGCTGGAGAGGGAGGGGGAAAGGAGTTGGGGGAGGGGGAGAAGGGTGGGAGGAGGGGGCGTTGGGTGGGAGGAGGGGGAGGGAAATGGGAGGCTGGGAGAGGTGGAAACTTGTTTTTTTTTCTCCTTTTCTCAATAAAAAAAGAAAAAAAATGGCCATCCCTTAAAAACAAACATATACATATAGGTAGTATTATACAGGCCAAGTAGGTTATATTTAGGAATATACACACACATATATATATATATATATATATATGCATATAATAGCAAGTAATGTAAAACTGGCTATGAATTTAAAAAAGGACAAGACGGTTATATAGGAACGGTTAGAGGGAAGAAACCAAAGGGGTGAATGTTTTAATTATACTACAATCTCAAAACTAAAAAATGAATAAGGAAAGTTATGATACATGTTTAATAATAACATAATTAATTTTCTAATTTACTCTGGAAATTAATTCCTTTAGAATGCATGTTTTAAGGAGGGTTAAAGGTGGGCAATATTCCACAGTTGCAAATGTATCTAATTTGGCTATTTATTGTTGTGTTAAGAAAGGTATTAAAAGTGGCCGGTGAAAGGAGTTCAGCTTTGTAATATAAATGTATTAAATTAATCTGTAGCCCAACATTTTTTTCCCTCCTTTGTTCAATATTATTAAAATAAGCACAATAACAAATTGAATACCTAAAGGGAAAAAAACACCAGGAGACACTTGAAAAACACACATCATCTTAAACATTCCTGGGCAAACCTCCTGTTGTTTCTCTTTCTTCTTTATCTTTTTCTGCCTCTAATGACAAAAGAAACCTAGAGTCTGCCACAAATATTTGATTCATTTACAACAATATAAAATGATAGATGATAGCACTGGAAATTGAAGTTGATTCTAGAGGAATACAAATCAAAATAATATTCTGGATGGGCACTTTAAAATATATCATCTAACACTGAGGCAGTAAGGAAATTCTCGATCTGCCTTATAAGAAGTCTGTCCACCTGCTCTTCTCAGCCGCTATGCTGTCTCCCCCAAATTCATCCCTGATGACATTTATTCAGGGATTTTATTGAAACGGCGTGTTCCACCTCACAAACTTGTGAATTTCCATAGGCTTCTTTATGTACCCTTAGTTATGACTAACTCACTCCCCTACCTTCTCCGTTCTTTTTTTTTGTTTGTTTGTTTTTTCTTATTTGTTTTTTCAAGACAGAGTTTCTCTGTAGCTTTGGTGCCTGTCCTGAAACTACCTCTTGTAGACCAGGCTGGCCTCGAACTCCCAGAGATCCACCTGCCTCTGCTTCCTGAGTGCTGGGATTAAAGGTGTGCACCACCACTGCCCGGCTACCTTCTCCTTTCTTAAATCCCCCATCCCGACATAAACATTTAGCTCTGTATATTCTCTCTTCTCTTCCATGTCACCTATATTCTACTGTATGCTTTGATTAAATGTTTCTCTTGAATGGAAAGACTGTATGCTCCCATATATCCTATTCACATATCTTTCAATTGCTAGTGGTATAAACTTTAGCCAGAGAAACTTTGTTTTTGCAGTGGATTGATGCAGAGACTCAGACCTGGTCAAAGAACCTGGCATAAATAACGCTGCATGCTCATTTGTGAATGGGTCACCTGTATCAAACTCCCATCTTCTCTGAGAACTTCCTGAGAGAGGCGGGAGAAAGTAAAGGCTGGAGAAAAACTGTGAAATACTGGATGATGGACATGACATGCTCATTGTAAACACTCACAGAAGCTGTGGTTACAAGCACAAGATCCACACTGATTTTTTTTTTTTTAACAAAACATAAGGAAGATTTATTTTGGCTCACAGTTTACGAAGCAGTGCAGTCCATCAAGACAAGGAAGACATGGCAGCAGAGATAAAAGACAACTGATCACACTGCATGTGCAGTAGGTAGCATATATCACCTGAAGGCTCATCGACACTGACCCACTTGTTCCAGCACGGTCTCATGCCTTAAAGGTGCTACAACTTTCTCAGATAGCACCGGCAGCTGGAGACCAAATGTACTTCTACGAAGGTTGTTTTATATTCCAACCACAACACATGACAAGATACCAATACATAATAAATGCTAATTGAATAGATGGCTAAGGCCAATGCAGTCAGAGACTCAGACCCTTGTTCTAGCCATTTTACTCCAGTGTCATTCTAGGCATCCCCAGGCTAGGTTGTAATTTGCCTTGCAGCCCAAGATGGCTTATATTAATGATCTTTCTTCATCAAACTCTTAAGTGATAGCCCCCCCCTCTGCAACAGTGTTTTGTTTTATTACAGACTCAGAAACAATGGGGCTGAAACTGCTGAAATTTTAACTCTAAGATCGTTTATCAGGTATTAGCGAGAGTAACTTAACAGAAATTTTACTAACATAGCCTTTTATTTGTTTTCATTCTACTCTTAATCTCTTATTATGTTTTGATAAAGCTTATCACTAACATTTAATTTCAAGTTGGGAAATTCATTTTGAAAACTAATTAATAGCTTACCACTTAAGATTAAAAACATTCATTTCTGAATTTGTTGCTTGAATTTTAAGGTTGTTTCTTTTGAATGATATGACAAAGAAGACATTTAAAATAATGACATTAACTTTATACTCTTTATATCATGTTTAACTATAAAAAGAATTTGGTGAAATTAATTACAACTATTGCTTAATGAGTATTAATTTTAATCTACCTCTGATCATAAGACACAGACAAATTGATAAATTTGAAAAAAAGCCAAACCTTTCAACCTGTTAACTCTTTAGTTAATTGTCTCTAATTCTATATGAAAGTAACAACCAATGTTGTAGGCATTACAGTCATAATAAATTTACATTTTCTCCCTTTCCTATGTTTAAAATTTGTACTTTTGGTCAGTAGGGTTCTCCTGAGACGTCTGAAACCATTTATCAAAATGGTATACAAAATATATATTCTTGACTTTAGCCATTCTGACAGGTGTAAGATGATATCTCAAAGTTGTTTTGATTTGCATTTCCCTGATTGCTAAGGAAGTTGAGCACGACCTTAAGTATCTTTTGGCCATTTGAACTTCTTCTGTTGAGAATTCTCTGTTCAGATCAGTGCCCCATTTTTTAATAGGTTTAATTAGCATTTAAAAGTCTAGTTTCTTGAGTTCTCTATATATTTTGGAGATCAGACCTTTGTCTGTTGCAGGGTTGGTGAAGATCTTCTCCCAGTCAGTAGGTTGCCTTTGTGTCTTAGTGACAGTGTCCTTTGCTTTACAGAAGCTTCTCAGTTTCAGGAGGTCCCATTTATTCAATGTTGCCCTTAATGTCTGTGCTTCTGGCGTTATACATAGGAAGCTCACGGCAGGACTCATCATCAGACTTACTGGGGTTCCTCTGTCAGTGCTGACCACTTTGCTCCCTGGTCTACAGACTGATGTCTTTCTGCTATTTGCTGACAACATTGTAAAGAATGTTGATTTTGAGAGAAAGCGTTAGACACATTCCTAAAAAAAGGCACTGCAGTTATTTTCTATTTGTGGCATAACAATGATGAGAATTAAAAGTGAATGTTTGTACCTCCTGCTTTCGAATCTTTTCACATCTCTTGCAAATGCTCTTCAGTAATCTCACAAAAACACTCATGTCTGCAAAGGATAAAAAATATACTGACCCTGAACTACAGAAAGTCTGAGAAGCTCAGAGCAATAAGATATCCAGTGAGCCAGCTAAGCTCTCGGGACTGCAGCTTCCCTATCTCTGAAAACTGAAAGAACAAATCCCACCCTGTTTTCTTATCAGCCTGTGAATACTAGATGCATTTACATATTTATAAGCCATTTATAAGTTATAGGACTGCATATAAACACACAAGCAGCATATTCTAAGTAATAATAAGGAGTGTGGCATCTCAGTTCAAAGGCTTAGTAGATCTTAACTAATCCAAAATGTTGGCTTCATAAATCCATGTAAGAGCAGAAACTGCCACGAAAAAGAAGTGGATCAGAAAGCTCCCAAGAAATATGGGGACTTGAATGCAATTCACTGACATGTTGACAGTGCAGTTTCTCCATCTACTAATGCAAGGGTCATTATATCTACCACGTTTCAGGGTCTAGTGACAGGTAAACAAAGCAATGCAGTAAAGTATCTTGGGTGTATTACTTGGCTTTGTGGAAAATGTTCAGTGTGAGCTAACCTGCTGTCTTTAAATTCATCTAACGTGCAGCAGAAGCTACTAGACTGTTGGCATGCCATTTCTTGGTTAACACTTAAGAAATCTAACAAGGCAAATATAATCCCTGCTATAAAATGAAGAAACTAAATATCAATAAATGCAACATTTTCCCATAATTACGTCACTACTTTAAGACCTTGTCAGTTTATAAGAGATTTTTACTTTTCCCTACACAAAACTTACTCTCCCCCACACACACCCAGAGACCACAGAACTTTATCAAGGAACAAGAAGCAGAATGCTACGTAAGTCTATCCATATGCAGAATTTATAAAGACTGAACCAATAGAATTAGAATATAGAACAGATTCGTGAGGGATCAGGACATTGGGAAGGAGGAATTTTAGAGGAGAAACTGATTAAAGGGAGCACAATTTCAGTGAGATTAATGTCTTCCAAATCACAACAATAAATTTCACAGACAAAATCGTAGAAGCATTGCCACTTCTAAAATCAATATACCCCAGGACTTTTTGCATTAGAAACAAGCAACCAACCAACCTAAGCAAACAAACAAAAAGAGAACCAACAGAAGTCAGGACGTGAAGAAGAGGAAGCATACAGTCGTATTTATCCACTTACCAATTTGTACCGGGCTCCTCATGCTGGTGGTGGCCACCTGTGCTCTTTGCCTTAGAGACTTCTTAAAATAATTCTCTTACTATGCTGCAGGAAAAAAATGGAAGAAAAAGGAAAATGAAATGATGCCTCAATATTTGGAGTTACCATACCTTTTACTGGTTTCATCAATTTAAAAAACAATAGTAGAGATTAACCTAGTTTGTGGGATTGGTATTCTCTATGTTGAAGGGATATTTTGAAACCATATTTATTCATAAAATGGATTTGCACTTATCTTTGTCACCAAGGTATATATTAATTCTTTATGACTTTGAAGAATAAGATAAAGACACCAGAAATGCAAGACCAACCTGAGCTACCATGTTTACACATCTTTTTCTTTATTGTTTTTGTCCAGCAATACATTTTTCTCCATGCCCCTCTCTTCCTCCCATTTTCCTTTCTACCCTCTTCCGTGACCTCCACACTCCCACTATACTCAGGAGATCTAGGATTTTTCTCTTCCTATGTAGATCCATGTGTGTCTCTCTTAGGGTATTCTTTGTTGTCTAGGTTCTTTGGGGCTGGTTTTTCTTTGCTTAATGTCTAAAAGTCACTTACAAGTGAGTACATATTTGTAGGAGGAGACAGCATATTTATTGCTGCTGCCCAGAACTGAAATTATCCCACAGAAACTTTATTATTAAATCACTGCTTGGCCCATTAGTTCTAACTTCTTATTGGCTAACTCTTACATCTTAATTTATCCCATTTCCATTAATCTGTGTATCGCCATGTGGCAGTGGCTTACTGGGTAAAGTTTCCAACTCTGTCTCTGGCTTTGGATCCATGACTTCTCTCTGACTCTGCCCTTCTTTTGCCCAGCATTCTGTTTAGTTTGCCCCACCTAGCTCTGTTCTCCTATAGCTCTGCTATAGGGCCAAAGCAATTCCTTTATTAACCAATGATATTCACAGCATACAGAGGGGAATCCCACATCACATATCACATTTGTCTTTTTGGGTCTGGGTTACCTCACTCAATATGGTTTTCTCTAGAGCCATCATTTGCCTGCAAATTTCAAGATATCATTATTATTTTTTTTTTACCACTGAGTGGTACTCCATTGTGTAAATGTACCACATTTTCTTTATCTAGTCTTCAGTTTAGGGGCTTCTAGGTTGTTTCCAGGTTCTGACTATTATCAATAAAGCTGTTATGTACATAGTTGAGCACATGTTTTTGTGGTATGATTGAGTATACTTTGGGTATATACCCAAAAGTGGAATAGCTGGGTTTTGAGGTAGGTTGTTTCTTAATATTCTGAAAAATTGCCACACTGATATCCAAAACAGCTGTACAAGTTTCCACTTCTACCAGCACTGGAGGAGTGTTCCCCTTATCCCACATCCTCTCCAGCATAAGCTGTTATCAGTGTTTTCGTCTTGGCCATTCTGACAAGTGTAAGATGGAATCTCAGAGTTGTTTTGATTTGCATTTCTCTGATGACTAAGGATGTTTAGCATTTCCTTATGTGCCTTTCCATCATTTGACATTCATTTGTTGAGAGTTCTGTTTAAGTCTGTACCCAATTTTAAAATTGGATTATTTGTTCTTTTGATGTCAAGTTTTTTGAGTTATTTGTATATTTTGAAGATCAGTATTCTCTCTGATATGGGGTTGGTGAAGATCTTTTCCCATACTGTCATATGTTTTATGGAGACAGGGTCATACTACTTAGCCTTAGCTTTCCTGGAAGATATGTCGACCATGTTAGCTTCAAACTCAGAAACATCCAGACTCTGCCTTCATACTGCTGAGATTAAAAACATGAAAAGGTTTCATGATGTGTTGTGTTTTCCATCATCATTCTCCCCCTGTGTATACTGCCGCACTATTCTCAGAGTACATGATAACTACTGAACCATGCTATTCACATGTGCTTATAAAATAAGATCTGGGGAAAATTTTTAGAGTTATTTCAATTATCACATTTGAATTACTATTGTCTACTTTAATAGGTTATACAATGTTATAATTTCATGTGAGATTAATTAGTACCTATAAGCATTTTTTGTCATTATTATACATATTCAAAATCTAATCAAGAAATTTTAACACAGGAAAAGATACAGTCTAATCAATAGGCTAGTATGATTCATCTTGTTTTGAATACTCCAGAGACTCAGCCTATCATTTCATATATTTTCCTGCAAATTCAAATGTTATCTGAAGCCATTTCTTTGAAAGGAAACATACAGGTGACCTATACCACAACACCTTGGCTTTGGTTATATTTGGGAATCTACTGTTCTGAAAAATGCTTTCTTCCCAAGAGCACATGCAAATTTTTTTTTTTTTTGAGAATTCATGATTCAAGTATAGGAATGAAAACAAAAATTGAGAAAATTTTAAACTAGAATGAATGGAAAAATATAAACTGTATATAGCCATGTGTATATGTGTCACAAATATGAAGGGGGACTCTTTCCTATGAGGAAGAATCTAAGAGTTTTCATGCCCTGAAATATTATCTTATAGGAGTAATTTTCCTGCTTCCAATTCTTTAGAGTTCATCTTTGTTTCTACCTAGTCTCTTTCTCAAATGTTTCTTTGCTTCTTACCCACTTTTCTAAACTTAATCTTATTTATTTCTTTTAGTACCCAAATTCTTCTTTCAGGCTTTGATGACCGTCAGTAATGCATCACTTGATAGACAGCAGCTAGACTTCCCTGAAAGAAGGACATTGCTGAGTCTATTTCTGACTCACTGAATCTCCGACCTCTAGACACAGTTACAGTTTCCTCAGCAATCACCTGTTTAACCTTCATCAACAGCAACACTGTCTCTTTTTCATACACGAGCCCTTCCATCAGTTCTATCAGATTAGATCTTTAAATCAGAGTTAGAATAGTGTTAGCCTATTACTAAAATTGTTACAGGCTCTGAAATAACAGAAGTAGGGAGCTGAGTTCTGGTTTCTAACAAAGCCTAAGCTTGATGTATTCAACTGTCTTTGATCCACCTTTTTGCTGTCCTTTGCTAGGGGTTTTATGAGAATTAAGATGGCTCTATCACATAGGTCGTATCATCATTTGTCTGGGTCTCCACAACCAAGGAGGATCTTGCTGTTGCTCCTGTCCCCACAGCAAAGGACTGTCTGGAGATAAAGTGCTTTTTTGTGTGCTGCAGGCACTTTGAAAATAGCTTGTATCAAACTAAATGAGTTCCAGTATAAATAAAGAGCCTAAGACATTGCAGATGGCACTCAGGAAGATATTGGTGTGACAGCTAGAAAGATGCAGTGTGACCCTCTGCAATTGATGCTTTGTATAGAGTGGAGAGTCTAATAAAATGAGCTCCATCCTGGAACCAGTGTGCTCAATGAAATCTGTATTAAGCCTAAATATGAGCTCTGACTGCTGCTTTAGTGAAAGGAGGAAAAAGATAAAAGAACACACTGTAACTTGAGTCAGATTCATGACACAAAGCACCCTGGTGTAATATGTAGTTTCTATTCTAACAAAGTGAGAAGTGAAAGAATATTTATATTATATATGTTGTCTTGCTGTGACACTCTATCAAATATACCAAAATATGCCTTGACTTATTCTAAAACCTCTGGCATAAGTTACACTTTGATTCACTTTCTAGCATTTTCGTAGGTGTGCCTCATTAAATTATGCTTTGTTATATCAGCTGCCCTGAATATGCACTGTTAACCTGAAAAGATAGTATGGAAAAGGGTTATTTTAAATGCATTCTATTTTTCCCCATAGATCGATGCAGACAAGTTTTCTAGAGAACTTTTTCTACTGCTATAGTAAAAGCTTCAGAGTTTTGGTAAGGGAGATATGGTAGAAGTGAAGTACCTCAAGATAATAGACTCAGTGCTCTGTGAAGCCTGGGCCTTATTTAACCAGGTGTCATGGCATAAGCAGTAGATTCTAGCAGCATGGTCTTCCCCAAAACACTTTTCACCTGAGTGTGCTAAGTGAGGATTGCTCATTGAAGTTTGATTGCCATCTGTTGGGTAATTGCTTAGTGACAGAGATAATAACACAGTCTTCAAGTCATGAATGATGTAAGTAATCCCTTCTGTCCCCTACTCACTATGATGATTTTGGTTTGACAAGATGGTATACACTGATACTCTCTTGGCACCAACTGAGCAGAATGAGCAGCTCTGACTGTTGGACAAATTGTCACACCTTTGTCCAATAATTGTTCTCTATAACTACTAGTATATAACTGAAAGCTCTCCAATTAACTGAATGAAACTGTCATGCCACACCAGGACACAGAGCATCTTTCAGCCTCACCAACATCAACATCTTGAACACACAATGATACAGCTGTGTTCCTTACATGAGCTGGTAGAAATCTCACTCTTCTGGTTACCTTCTTTTGCATGTACTTCAGTTATCAATGTGTTCTTTGAAAATATACATGAGACAACTTTTGTAAAAGTCCAGCACAAACAGAACATCATGAGATAAATGGAAAATTGATCTAATTTGTAAAGAATAATGAGGCCTAAAGTGAAAATTATTTTTATTTCACAAAACTAGGCAGAAAAAGACTTCCTAAATATAACCCCAGAAGCACAGACACTGAGAGAAACAATTAATAAATGGGACCTTCTGAAACTGAAAAGCTTTTGTAAAGCAAAAGACAATGGTCAACAAGACAAAATGACAGCCTACAGAATGGGAAAAGATCTTCACTAACCCCACATCAGAGGTCTGATCTTCAAATTATACAAAGAACTCAAGAAATTTGTCATCAAAAGAACAAATAATTCAATAAAAAATAATGGAGTACAGACCTAAACAGAGAACTCTCAACCAGAGGAATCTAAAATGACTGAAAGAAACTTAAGGAAATGTTCAATATCCTTAGCTATCAGAGAAATGCAAACCAAAACAATTCTGAGATTCCATCTTACACCTGTAAGAATGGCCAAGATCAAAAACACTGATGAGAACTTATGTTGGAGAGGTTGTGGGGAAAAGGGAACACTCCTGCATTGCTGGTGGGAATGCAAGCTGGTACAGCCCCTTTTGATGTCAGTGTGGCAATTTCTCAGAAAATTAGGAAACAA